AGAAATAGATAACTGGAAATATGCTTTTCTGAGTAATTCAGAAAAACAGGCAGCCTCACAGAGCTGCACTGCCCTTTAAGCTACTGCATTCTCGAGTGGGAATTCTGGAAATGAAAGTACAATATTCCATTAAAGAGATAATTATTCTGTCTGTCTCTTCAGTGAGGTTTATGGTAGACTTGCTTTCCTGGAGGTGGCCCTACCTTTACTGAGAACTGATCCCTTAGGCAGATCATTGATACTGTCCAGCAGAAATGTTGAGTCTCCACACTGGACAGAGACTTCATTCTCTTGACTTGAAGAAAATAATTTCCCCTGATGGGCCTTTACTGCTGCTATACTAATATCATTATGACTATTGATCACATCATTACATAGTAGTGTTTCAGTTTGTATATTATATATAAATGTATACTTTATAATTAATAATACATATATAGATATTTACATACATTCATATATATAAAAATGTGTATCAAATAGATGACCTGCCACTTAGAGAAGTAAAAGAGCCATAACCTGTCCAGGTAGCTTTCCCTTTAGTTTAAGAGGTACTGAGCATCTGCTTTTCCAGGATGCACATGAGCTGAGTAACTTCAAGTGCTGAATTGGAGCCCTGGGGCTGAGATATTGCCTCCTCAAGATCTACCACAGTTCATATAACACAGGTCTTCATGAAATAAATGAAAGGATCAATTGAGAAACAAACACACTCTGTAGGATCTATCTGATATTTTCTTATAAAAAGTCACCACACACACACACCACCACCACCACCACCACCACCACCACCACCACCACCACCACCACCACCAGAGTCGCTTAAATGAGCTGCCAGTGTGAACTGGAACACCAATGCAGTGAGTTGTGGGGGAAATAGAAGCATTGAATGCCATGGATGTCATCCTGGAGGAGAGTTGCTCTTCAGGGTTCAGGGTTAATCAAAGCATCAGGAAGATTGCCCGGGAATTGAAATCTAGAGATAAAATGACCTGAGTGGAGATCATTGCCATCCGGAGGGGTTTGAATGAGAATGGACCCCCTAGCTTCATAAGTTTGAATACTCGATCTGGAATTGGTGGAACCTTTGTGGAAGGATTAGGAGGTGTGGCCTTGACTTGCTGGAAGAGGTGTGCCATCGGAGGGTGGGCTTTGACTTGCACCATTCTCAGTGTGCCTCCCTGCCTCCTGCTTGTGGAACAAGACGTGAGCTCTCTATTGTTCTGCTACCATGTCTTTGCTCCACCATGGTGGACTCTAACCCCCTGGAACCAGAAACCCCATTAAAGGCTTCCTTTCGTAAGTTGCCTCGGCAATGGTGTTTCATCAGAGCAATAAAAGAGGAACTAATACACCATCAAAGCCAGAGTACTGGAGAGCGAGAACCAAGCTGTCAATGAGGTCAAATTAACCCAGGCACAGATGGGACTGCAAGAATGGGAAGAAGCAAGTTACTCAGGCAAGGCAACAAGACCTGAGTCCAGCCAGGAAGGGAAGACTGGGGATCTGCAGGAGGGAAAGGAGGGCTCAGTGCCATCTAACTCTGAACCAAAGGCTTCTGCAAGGCCACGGTGCTGTGAGGCTGGCCCTACCAGTCCTGCGGCTGTGTCCTAGAGACGGCTGGGCCACTGCATTCTGAAATCACCAATGAGACCTTCATCAAGAAGCTCCTGGACTGGCCCACCCTCTGTGAAGCCTCCTGCTCTCTGTCTCTTTCTTCCGGGCCCTGTCCACCGCCCCTTTTGGCCCCATCCCCTGGTCACACTCCGTGCTGGATGATACAGTTGGATCTAGGGATGGTGCGTCACTCTCAGGAGCTTCGTCTGCGGTAGCGTGAAGCTCAGGCTTTTGTGTTTTCAGTATGTAGGTTTCTGCTACAAGCACTCCTGTTTGCTCTTTTAAAAACCAGTGAGTTGCGAAGCGGTTACAAAATGCTGTTAGGAAAAAGGACAAGGCCTCAGGAGAACTAATTTTTCCTAAAGACCGAGAAGAAAACCTGAATAGGGACTTTCCTGGTGAGGAAGATACAGTATGGGAGAGATGTGTTCGTAGAGGAATAGATGAATGAAACAAATGAAAATTTAGAAACAGACTCATGTACATATGGAAATTTCAGACATGATAAGTATGGTATCTAATCAGTTCTAGGAAAAATAGTTTACTATAAGAATTGGAACAACTTATTAATCATGTACAGAAAAATAGGTTTCCTAACTTCTGTTCAGATCAACCATTGTGGACAAGAGGAGATGACTGTCTGGGGACACCTGTGAGGGCATTGTGTCTTAGCAACAGTCTGCATTCTGTTCATGCTTGCTGTTGAAATGGAGCAAGAATCAGTAGGGGAGAATTTGAAATGGGAAGTTGATAGGAAATGTATATGATGAAAACATACACCTGTAATCTCAGTATCAGGAAGCTGAAGCGGGAAGATTGTGATGTCAAGCTTGCATGGCAACACTGGGGTCAGCGTGGGTTATAAGGAGAGACTCTATCCCACACACCAGGCTGGGGGGAGGGAGGAGAAGGAATATGATAAACCAGAGATCGGGACTTCCATTGCTTGTAGCAGCATGACTCTCAATGAGCGTGACTACAGAACAGCACTTAGAAAAAATAAAAAATAAAAACACTGTTCAAGGAAACCGGGCCAATCTGCTCAAGACAAACAACCCTATGACACCAAGACATGTTGGTTAGGCTTATTTTAAGGCCTCCATAATGATTTCTGGGATTCTGTGGGATTCTGTCTTCCAGACACTGTGCCAACTACCAGCTGGCAGCAGAGCCTCTGTGGTCCACCTTCTGGGGCCATTATGGGATGAGATGCATTGATATTTCCCCATGGAAGGGGTAGAGGGAAAGTCATGAGACCCTCATCTGAGACTCCAGCCACCACTGTCTGTGGTGGTAATCTAATTGTATTGAAATATTATTTTGATTTGTACTGAAATATTAATTTGATTGTATGTTAATAAATAAAGTTGTCTGGGGGTCAGAGCTATTAGAGCCATAGCAAGAGTGTGGCGGTGGTGGCACACGCCTTTAATCCCATAGATATCTGTGTGTTCAGGGTCAGAGCTATTAGAGCCATAGCAAGAGTGTGGCGGTGGTGGCACACGCCTTTAATCCCATAAGATCTCTGTGTGTTCAGGGATACAGCCAGCATTGGAGACATATGCCTTTAAGACCTAGGGGGCTGTACATTCAGACAGTGATGAGGCAGTCATGTGTTTGGGTTTACAACCAATGAGAAGGCAGAACAACATACTTTAAAAATACGAACCGACAGGAAGTAGCTCTCTTTTCGCGAAGCTGGGACAGCAGGAGGAAGGGTGAGATTTTAGCTCTGAGCTCTGAGTTCTTGGCTTTCTCTTTTACATTGTTTCTGTGTTTCTTATTTAATAAGACGGTTGGTTACATCTACAACTGTCTCTGATCCGGCATGTGCACATGGCAGTATTATGGGGAGCTAGAATATAGAGTATGTGGAGAGTAGGTTGCCTGGTCTCAGTTATGCAGCTTTCATGAGGCATGAAGTGTGCTGTAGTGGGGTTATTCTGTTACCCAGCTCCCTGAGAATTGCCCAGGCTCCTCTAAGTCACCCCCATAAACTAGCTGGCTCACCAAGCTGCAGTTGGGTGGAAGGTTTTCTTTGGTCTGTTGGTGCCCTGTGTGGTGTGTCTCCCCAGGAAAAAGTAATGCGATGCTGGGTATCAATCAGCAAACCAGGTCAAACCTGAGGCCGTGCCAACTGGCCAAGGAGATTCAGTGGCATGGGCAGGTTCCTTTGCTCCTGCCTTTCCCATGGCCCCTTTGACTCTACAACAGCAGGATTGGCAAGGAAGATCCCATGACTCACACAGCCAAACATTATTTAGTACCTGTCTCTTCCAGGAAAGAAACAAAACAAAACAACACACCTTGATTCTTCTTATAAACCACATCTCTCAACTGTACCGTTGGGGGGAGGGGGAGGGAGTGGCCGGAGGGAGAAAGCCCTCAGTCTAGAAAAAGAGGGGGAGTGGTGTGGCCTCTAGATGAGGATCCACTCCTGCTAACCAAGTCAAATGTGCCATCCCCCAGCCTCAGAACTCACCCTCTGAGTTTCTAACAGCAGGAAGTTCCTCTGGCCCTCTTTACAGATTATAGTTCTAGTGTGGCCCCAACGGTTTAGAAAGAAAACCAATCAACCTGAAGTTCATCACATGCTGTTGCGTTTCATCTTAAAGAACCTATCTTCTTCTGGTTTTGGCTGGTTTTATAAGGTTTGTTGTAAAGGGTGGGGGAAGATAAGGAGAACTTAAAAAGCCGAATTTCTCAAATCTGAGCAAGGGTAAGGCATGAAACTGCTCTCCACCCAAATCAGTAATCCGACAGTTTGCCCTGGCGAGACAATTGCATGTATTTGCATTTTGTTCCTGTGTGTGAGAATTTAATTTTTACAACCTGCTGTGTTTTTCAGGCCCTTTAACTAATAGGCTTTTATCACCTTATGATTGCCTAATTTTCTCTTAATTGCTTTATGACAATACAATTTATTTTGATCACTCCCACCCTGCGGTTTTGCTTTCTAATGAAGGACTTAGGAATTTCCATGTGCTACTGTGCTTCGGTTTGATTTTTCAATCCCTCTTCTTCCTCAGGAGTGGAGAAAGAAAACTGGAGTTGAAAGAGCAATATAGTTCTTGTGCTTTCCCCGGGTGGGGACATCTCCGATCGTGGAGAGTCCTTCCTCCTGACTGACCTCCACCTATACGTACACGGTCCACCAAGGTCTTTCAGTTGACGTTGGCACGGCTCTTTGTGAGTTGTATACATGTGCATACGTTGTGGATGAAGAAAGGAAGCTGGCCAAGGCCATTTAGAAGTGCAGAGCCACTCTGGGTCTGTGATTCACACCATAGCTCCTCATACACAGCGTTTATTAGATTTGCTAATTTGGATTAAGTGAAGGTGTTGTTCGTTGTTTGTGGGGAAGAAAAACAAACTCAGAGCAAATTTTCAAAGAAGCCATTTCTTTTTCTTCATGAAATGTATATAGTTAAAGACTCCGGCAAACCATCACGGAAGTAGCACTGAGGCCTAAATGTAGCCCAGGGGTGAAACACTTCCCAATTTTCAACAACGCAAGGCAAAGAAAAGCCCTAGAGTAAAGACACTTTCCTCTGAATTCACTCAGTTCAGTGCAGCAGATGCACAGTACGTTGCTAGCACGATCCAGGTCTACTTCACGATAGATAAAAATCACAGAAAGTGAAATCTAGTCAGCTGAGGCAGCATCTGTTAGAATGACGTCACAAGAATGCAAAAGACAATCATGGGAATTTTTATCTGTCGTCTGAATGAGTTGGTAAGAGCTACCATCAGTTGTGAGAGTCCACTTTGAATCAAATACTTTATACAATTTTACCAATCTTCCAGCAGATTTAATAAGGACAACCTTGATTTTCATTTACAACCTGCCCTGACCAAGTTTGCGTAAATGATAGGTGGCAGAGCCTGGATTCCAGACCCAGACATTGTGGCCATAAAGTCCAGACCTAGCACACCCGTGGCCTCTCTTTAAAAGCTTTAGTTGCTCCTAAAGCCCTTGTGATGGTGCCATAAAGCAGCGTGTTCTCCTCTTTACAGATGAAGATTGGGGAAGGAACACCATGCTGATACCCAACCTCATTGCAGATGGCGTCAGGCAAGCCGGGCCTCCCGGGTCCTAAGCCTGCATTCTTAGAAAAAAAGAAATGGTTTTTAATCAAAACCTGTAATCATACTGGAAAGTTCAGTAGGAATCGTGCTTGTGGGTCAAAGTGCGAAGGCCTGGGATCCTGCTAGTTTGGCTGGCAACCAACCACGGGGAGGAGACCTCCTCTAGTTCCATGGCTCCTCATTCAACCAATGGCCTTGGACAAAGTGCCTTCACCTCCTGAGCCCCGTAAAATAATGAGGTTCAACCAGAGTCCCCCTGCTTTCTTCCAGATCTGTGGGGTGTGATTTTTATGGCCTATGATCTGTAAAGTATGATCATAAGCCAGCAGGCCTGGAAGTGTAATATTTATCTGCCTAAGCCATATCTTTACATAGACAGAATGCAGGGATTACGTTTATTAAATGTATAATAATAATGGTTCCTGGAACTATTGGGTTTCTACCTGCAATTATCTAGAGAATTTGGACTGTGTAGATAAATATACCTTCAGATAATTGGAGTCCAACTGAAGTTTAGTTGCAGAAATAAAATTAAAATGGAATGTGCTGCATTAAGAATTAAAGGTGTATTTGAAAGTGTTACAAAGGCCCAGGGGGATGGTTCAGTGGGTAAAGTGTTTGCTATGCAAATATGAGAACCTGAGTTTGGGTCCTCAGCCCCCCAAAACAAGCTAGGCTGAGTGTGATAGCATACACATGTTAACTCCAGAGCGAGGGGCATCGATCCCAGGCTCTCGCTGGCCATCTCAAGACAGTGAGATCCCGGTTCAAGGTTCCATGGGAGACCCTGTCTCAAACACTAAGATGGAAGAATGACAAAGGAAGCCATCTGACATCAAACCCTGGCCTCCACATGTGCAGGTATGGACAAAGTGTACCTGCACACACACCTGCATGTGTGCTCACACACGAGAATGACAGGATGAATTTTCCTTTGCATGAACATAGGAGTTGCTGGCCATCCTGCTTTGTCCTCGGTGTAATTCACAACATCACACTGAGAACCGCCATTCTCCTGAGTATATCTGAATGTGGCCACGGCCACCGTGGCACAAACACAGCAGCGTATGGGAGGTACTAGATGAGGTTACGCGTGACTCTCTTAGTTCCGGTACAACGGTAATGACTGCTTTGCTAAGCAGTCCTATTGATTTGCTTCTAATCCCAACAACTCTGAGAAAGATCAACACGGTTGTCATTGTATATTAGTGAGGTCAGGTCACTTACGCTTGAGGACTGGGTATCTTCATGACCACACCGGCCAGCACACTTAAAACCAGAATCTGATCCCAGAGAGGGGCCCCTGGAGGGGCACAGGCCAGATGGAGCACATGCTATGCACCAGGGCCTGGGAAAGACCGTGTGACAAGGTTGTGCATGGTTCCTGCAGTCAAGAAGCTTTCTGAAAGTCATGGGGTGTGTGGGGGGGGGGACCTCAAATCACCAAAAACAGGATGATTGCAATAAAAGGAAGAGTGGGGGGCTGGGTTTCAGCTGAGGGTGGGGGATGCTGAAGAAAGCAGTGAGGGAAAACAAAACAAAACACGGAGAGCTGTGAGGCAGGAGATGAGTGGTGAGAAGCATCGGGGGCAGATGGGTCCCCAGGAGCTCACCACGGTGTCGCTGTGTAACCATCAGGGTCCCGAGTGTGTAAGAAGCAGCTGACCCCCGTTGAAGGGAAAGCGTGAAGTCGGTGCTCACAGGATTCGGCAATGGCAGGTGGCACCGGTCTACCACAGGTGCCTGTGCTGTGGTGTGAGGCACATGGGAACAGCTGTGATGAGGGTACCGTCGTAGCCTTCAGGACGTGAGCAGCTGAAGCACAGAACAGTGGCTGAAGAGGCTTCCGTGTTGGCGAGAGGCAGGGTCAGGATTTGAACCCACGGCACTCTGCGTTCCACGACCACTTTCTGTAGAATTGTCATTCAGAAAAAAAAATGCTTGACAATCTTGCTGCATAAATACATAATTGATTTTCTTTTAATACCTTGAATTTATGATTTTGAAATCCCATTTTAAAAAAAAAACTGTCAGGTTGCCTAACTGATGAATAGTCTCTGATATTATCAGACACCTGCAGGTTCTCAGATACCAATAAGTTCACTTCAACATCTACTACCCCAGTGGAAACAGACTTAACAGGAGCAAGCACGGAGCAATATTAGAGATGGGCTCATGGAGAGGCTGTAAAATCACCAGATTGCTGAAAAGAAGCGACATGTCGATGCTGTGGGAAATACATATCCTTTAATATAGTCCTATTTTGTAAACCGGTGGTTGACAGGCAGTGAAATACAATACCGAGTACCACATTAAAACAAAACCATAATGGCCGTGTTTGGTTGCTGGAAGAAAGTGGGACTGTTATCGGTCAGCAGTGATAAATGATACAGAGTCAAAACCCCGGGACTCTAAGCCTTCAGCCAGAGCCGCGAATCTGAAGTAAGGAAGTGGGGCCCCCTGGATGGCCGGCTGGAGCCGTGGGATAATGAGACTGGCTTGTGGCCACAGCTGTGGGTTCCCCCAGTCCCCGAACCCACAAGCACCACCGCGCCTTCTCTCCCTGCCTTGAGGCAACCTTCAATTTCATAAGGGCACCGAATCAAACAGTCAGCAATTAGTGCGGCCGAGCCTTGAAAAGAAACCGATCGCTGGCGCGGAGAGTCTGTCTGCAGAGAGCCGGCATTTCCTCATTTGTGGAGAGAAACAGCAAGAACAATTAAAAGTTTCAAATCAAGTGTAATTCCTTTCAAGTCGGGTTTGGTGAAATATACATAAATCTCCTATCAGAGCCTCAGCTCAAGTCCTGCGCTGTCTGTTTGTTTTACAGAACACTGCTTTCATCTTCGTAGAAGATGTCATAAAAGCACATTTCAAAAATTACCATTGGCACCCAGTTTCCTATTTGATTATGTCCTGGCACACAGCCCTGCCAGTCACACAGACCCTCTATTTGGGTCGCTCCAATTGGAAGATAATCGCATGTACCACCTACCTTTCAGCACGCCCAGCCCCCATGCGGCAGCAACCTTAAATCTTGGGAGCCACAAGGAATAACTCACATTATTTAAGAAAGTCGGTACTTTCCATTTTACTTTACCTCAGGCAAACTCATCGAGGGCCCCTTGAAATATCGTCGCCCAGAGCACCAGGAGTCAAGAGCACCAGATACCAATTACAAGCTGGGAACTAAAATGCCGTAATTAATGAGAGATACACTTTAATCTAAAACGAGTCAAAAATGTTGCTGGATGGAGAAAAAAGTAAAGTGGAACTCCATAATTATAATAAATTGTGCTGATTTCCCCACCTACCGAACAACAAAGGGGGCTGTCTTCGGGATTCCGGAGTCCAACATTTTACAATGAACACTTGACTCGGCGGAATAAAGGTCTGACTGTAACAGCAAACAAGCCAATTGTGCGCCTGGACCTCTGCGCCTGATGCAAACCAGTGGCTTCCCCGTCATGTCCGTTTCCCGTGGGTTCTCGAAGCTAAGGTTATACAGGGCCCTTCCCTAGCTGCCGCTCTGATAAAATGCGTCTGTCGTGCATGTCTTCACACATGCAGCTTCCTTGTTCCTCTTGTTCTTTGCAGATGACTCAATGGACTAAAAATAATTAGATTTTTTTTTTCTCTGACACCGTCTTTTGGGCTTCTCCCGGAAGTCTGTTAATTTTAACAAATTTCGCTGCAGAGGCGGGGCCAAGGGGAAATCAATCCTATGTGCACTGGCCATTCCCTCTGACAGCACACGTGAAAAAAGACATCATCAGGCCAACGGGCCTGACTGTTTTTCTTTGTCTTGGTAAAGGCTAGTTGTTTACATTTGGGGGAGGATGAGGCAGAGAGAGGAAGCACAGAAGCATTCTCTGGCCATTTTAAACGCTTCTGCCAAGAGAGGGGCATTAGAATGGAGCAGACAGGCGAATAAGCAAAGGGCATCGTGGTCCTAAAGTGATAGGTCAAGGTTAAAGCATTCCTGTAATCCCAGCTGCTGAACACTTATCCCTACAGCTTCATCCAAGAGCTTGCTCTTGACAAACACAAACAGGAGCGCAGTCTGGAGACCAATTACAAATCACCCTTCAGATGCCTGTAATCCTTTTGTTTCCATTTCTAATCAGAATAAGGATTATTTTTTAAGATGGCAAAGAGAGAGAGAGAACACATAAACAGTCTAAATCTTCAGCTAAAAAGAAAGCTTGAGAGTTCTTTCTCCCCCTCAGCCTTTTAAGCCACCAATGACCTTCCCCGTGCTCTTCATGGTTCTGAAAAGTACCCACGGCAATCAAAGGCAATGCGGCAACACATGAACATAGAATGGTTTGCACATGACTGATCCAAAGCCTGAAAGCAAGCTCTCACTCAAACCCCAACTCAACGGAGAAAGAAACTGGATGAAATGGTCCATTACTGGATGCCATCTCAGGGATGATGGTGGTCGTGGTGGTAGTGACTAACATCTATTCCGTACTTCTTATATACCCAGCATCCAATGCTTATCCCCATTGCAGCCTGTAGGAAGTACTGTACAGTGTTTCAGCAGAGAACAAATTTGCAGATAACTTGCCCCAAGTCATGTGGCAGGAACATGCTGGAGCCTGCGACCTCAGGCAATGTATTGTAAGACTTTAAATCAGAGGTGCTATCTTAAGAGCTTTGAACCTCATCGGGTCCCAGAGGCATAAGCCTGATATGGTCTGGTCTCATCAGGCAGATCCTTTTCCTCATCTGCCCCTCCACCCAGCAGGAAATGCTCCCTTCCTGTCTAGTTCTCCTGTGACCTGGACCCACCGCACCCCACCCTTCTCTCCAACTAATGGTTTCACTCTCTGTCTGATGGTAAAATTGTTGAAATGAGCCAATCTCATCCTCCATGGTAGATCATCCCATTGGGACTCCAAATCTTCCCTTCCACGGTCCCTTCTAGATCTTTCTGCTCCCAAGGTTAACCCGCCTACGGCTTCCTCTCCCGGCACTTCATATGTAGGTGGCTAAAAAGCTGCTTCTGATTTCATCTGCCTAGTGGTGGGTGTGATATGTCACCTCGTCTTGTTCTAGTTAGAGAAGAAGATTCTTCTTTGACAGAATGAGCAGAAATAGGACAGAGCGGAGAAGTGGCTGGAGTCTCGGAGAACCTCACTGCTGTCTGTCCAGTCTCTCTGAAGTCAGTCAGGGGAAAAAAATGTGAGGGGCTGTCAGCACGCTGGGCCTCTTCCCCGGGCAGGCTGCCCCTTTCACCCTATCCTGTTCCAGAGTTGTGCCTCCTAGGGCCAATGCCTGCACCCAAGAGGCAGAGAGGCCCATGGGAGAGCCGGTGCTGGTGTGGTAAAGGCTGGGGCTGTTGAAATTGCAGCCCATGGCTCTGAACCAGCCGCATCATGAAGCCAGATGCTAGTTTCAAACAAACAAGGTCACTTCCTAGGGCAGATCTGGCATCAAGCTGGGAGGTCCACAGCCAGTTACAACCCCGCCCCCTTCCCCACTTTTATGAGAAGGAAGAAGCCTCCAGAATGTAGCAAAGTAGTCATCTCCGTGGGTGACATTTGGGATTTTAACAGCTGAGTTGGATGCCAGGTACATCCTGGACTGTACCGCCGTGAGTAAAGTCAGGACTTGGAGAGTCACCGAGTGAGAAATGTGCGACCTAGGGTCACGTGGCAGAGAGGCATTCCCTAGCTAGGTGAGTCCAACAAGCACTTAACGTGTCGGAGCCACGGTTTCTATACCTGAATAGCCGCTTACAGGACTGCCATGAGACCGAGTCTAACAATGAATGCCAGGGACCTATTAGAGAGTGAGGACACGGTGAACTGGAGGCAAAGAGGTCCCCTGATTCTTTTAGTTTCATTCTAGATCCTTCTTCAGACTTTGTCCCTGGCTAATCAGAGACTCAGCAACAAACCAACTAACGAAAACACCTGGGAGTGGCCAACTTCAAGATCTGGACAAACTCGAAGTCTGAAGAGACCAGTGCTCTCCCTCCCTATCCAGGGTTTCCACCACTGTCTACCTCATGACACATCTTGATCTGAAATGAAACTTTTAGGCTAGAAGAGGTCTTTGATTTATTTTTTTTAATCATACTTTTCCATGTTTGTTTTATTTATGCTTAGGGTTCTGCCTGTGTCCCTGGGAGAAGGACTCTGGGTTTCCGATAAAAGGGTAAGACAGAACATTGGGGTCCCACAGCAGTGTCGGGTACTACTTACAATAGTAAATAGATGCTGGAGCCAGGGCTACATGCTGCCGTCTTCAGGCAGGAAATGCCTCTGGTTGGTTGGTTTGGTTTTTGACATAGGCTCTTGCTATGGAACCCTGAGTATCTTGAGACTCATCCTCCGGCCCCAGCCTCCCAGGGCTGGAATCACAGACAGGAACCTGGCTAGACTTCTCTGGTGGATGGAGTGGAAGGAAGGGATGGCACTTCTGTGTACAGAGGTTCTCAGTTCCTGTGGGATAAGGAAATTTAAACTACAAAATCTTGGCTGTGCTTTCTCAGAGGCAGTACACCAAGGTAGGGACACACTAGCAGGGTGACACATTTTTTGCACAGCTAAATTATTATTTATTTGCGTTATCCACATCTGCGTTGACCCGCTTGATTTGAGTGGAGCAGCGAACTCCAGCTGGTCCAAGTAGTGAAGGAGGGATCAGAGAAATGTGGTAAGAAGCGAAGTGTGGAAGAAAAAAACAATTGTATTTTATCAAGATAGTCTTAAAAACTTTTAACCAAATATATCCATTTTAAAGGACATGTCCTAGAATTAAAGAAACAGATACAAATCAAGGTAGCATGAGTCAGGTTAGGCTAAATTCTGCTGTGTAACAAATGGATCCTCAAATCTCGGGAGTTTGAAGCAGTGGAAGTTAGTTTCTTTTGTTTTTTGTTTTCCCACCCAAAGCCTGTTGCTAGATGAGAAAGACAGAGAATGCTGTGATGGTTAATGTTGTGTCAACTTAACCGGTCTAAACGATGCCTGGATACTTGGCAAACATTATTTCTGGAGCTGCGTATGTGGATGTTTTCAAAACAGAAGAGCTTTAGGATTAGTGAACTTGAGCAAAGCAGATGCTCCTCACCCCTAGACTGAATGTGGTTGGGTACCAGCCAATCTGTCGAACGTCTAAATAGAACAAAAGAAGAGGAAATTTGCTCTCTGACTGAGTTGTGGCATCCACTGTCTCTGGTTCTAGAACTCCCTGGTTTTCAACCCTTTACAAGAAGATGTACATTAGCCCAATCTTGATCCCCAGGCTGTTGGACTCAGTGAAATTTATACCTTCATAATATATCTTTATATCAGCTCTGCCCATATCACATCATCTGTCTGTCTGTCTATCTCCTGTTGTTCTTTTTCTCTGGTGAACCCTCACTAATGCAAAGGCATTCTGATTTGTAAGTTTTCAACATGATCATAATTGTTATTATTTATGTGCATGGTCATGCCCCCAGCCCAGCTCTATGAGAGTCTGGAAAAATAGAGAGGAGCATGTGAATATTCAGTGAACACTAATAGAATTAGCAACAATGACAGAAAATGAGTGAAGAAAGGGAAATGGAAATACACGAACAAGAAAAATGAAAATCCTGAAGAGTTATAGGACAGGAAAGCAGCCCCCAGACGCCACTCCCCCACACCATTGCTGGGGGATCCAGGCTTGACTTTAATCTTACTCATAAACAGTACTTTTCCTAATTATAAAGTAATGCATGCGAACATTTAGGGGAAAAGAATAAAAAGGAAACTTTTAAAATCATATGTATAATTCCACATATCCCTGATATAATTATAGTGTGTTTATTTATTTTCTTTCTCTTGTACCTTAAATTTCATGTTTTAGAATTAGACATTTTTTTTCCTTGCCCTTTGCCTATGAACTCTGTAGCAAAGCTCTTTTAACTCTTCCTTCCTCATAATTCTCAGGGGACCCAGACTGGAAGGAGGCAGGGATGTGAGGAGGTCAGTGTCTATGAGACACGGTGTTGTCAGACCATGCCGGGAAGGACGGGGCTTTAGAGTATAGTTAATGATGCATTCAGGGGAGGGCCAGCTGCTAATGAAAGAGAAATGCACACACACTGAGGCTTTCCAGGGGACCTTGGGACAAGAAAACCAGCGTGAGTTGCAGTCAGCCGAAGTGACCAAGGCTGTGACAAAGCTCAGCACAGGCAAACAAGCTGCCCACAGCTGAACTGATGAGATGCCCGAGAAGTGAAGACCAGGGCTTAGGAGAGTCTTCCCCCAGAAGGATGTGCTCTCAAGATCAGTGGGCTGCTGTGTCAGCCAGATGGCATATGCTTTCGTTATTCCAGGAAACAAAAATAGACTTTTGGTGAAAGACCAAAAATCTTTGGAAGAATAAAGACAGGATAGTGAACACAAAGGCCTAGGGTTTGGAGTTGGGGGAGGGCGATGGGGAGAGCAAGGAAGGGACTGTTTAATGTTTGTTGAGCAAAATGAAATGCTTTAAACCTGTGCCAAGCTAATTTAGTAGTAGGAGGCTTTGTGCTTGTAACTCACGTAATCTGTGTGTTGCCTGTACTTCGAGATTCCTCTCATTGTCCCGTGAACAGTTTGTTCACCTGA